CTGCCGCTGGCGAGACCTATTTTAAGGTAGCATCTGGATCAATACAAGCTTCGTGGTAACTTACGTTGCTTTTGCAAAACATCGGAATGCAAAATCGAAGGCGCCTGCGGCGCGTGGTATCGAGAAGAGCCTGCCAACACACCTCTCCTCAAAACAAACCATGCCTCAACATGATCGTATCTTCAAGAACTATCCTGACGTGCCGTCTCGCGCCGATCCGGCGGGGCAGACCTCCCATGGCGCCGCCGGGTGGGCCACTTGAGACATGTCACGAACGGCGAACGCGTCCGCACCCGCACCCTCGCAGCCTGGATTTCGGGGCGCGATCCCGTGGATACGCGGTCGCACGGATACGTTCCGCGCGGGGGGTCGCGGCCCAGGGGCCCGGCCTGCGAGGCCGCGGCTCTCCCGCTCAGACTTAACCCGCCCAAAAGTTGTCCTCAGACCCCTCCCAGGGTCCATCCTGGCCAGTTAGTTGTTCGAGGCGGACCAAGCCCAGGCGACGAGAGGCCCCATGGGAGGCCCAGAAAGGACCAATTAGCCTGGCGAAAAATCCAACCATACGCAGCTGTGAGTTCCGTCGTTGCATGCACCGCATTCGGAGGAACTCCCTATCAAGCCACGAAACGTGTGAGGAGTGTGACAATTTATCCGGTGGGCGCATGCGAACGCAGCCACTGGGGCCGTCGGTGGAACTCCCTATGGGGCCGCGAAACGTGTGATGGGTGTGCCGAAATGGGCGCGATGGGCGCATGCGAACGCAGCCACTGGCGCCTTCGGTAGAGCTCTCTATGGGGCCACGAAACGTGTGATGGGTGTGCCGAAATAGGTGTGGGGGGCGCATGCGGGCGGTGGCACTGGTGACTTCGGCGTAGCCCCCTCTGGGGCCACGAAACGCGTGAGGGGTGCCGAAAGGGGCGTGGGGGACGCATGCAGGCGGTGACACTATGGCCTGGGCCTTCGGTGGAGCTCCCTATGGGGCCACGAAACGCGTGAGGGGTGTGCCGAAATGGGTGTGGGAAACGCATGCGGGCGCTGGCACTGGGGCCTTCGGTGGAGCTCCCTACGTGGCCACGAAACGTGTGAGAGGTGTGCCGGAATGGGTGTGGGGGACGCATGCGAACGGTCCCACTGGGGGCTTCAGGTGGAGCTCCCTATGGGGCCACGACACGTTGTACTGGGTGTGAAACGCAGGGAGGAGGGAGGAGGGGGAGGAGGGAGGAGAGGGAGGAGGGAGGAGGAACGCGGGGACCGTCTCTTCAAAACGAGAACCCAACACCGCAGGATGGTTGGGAAAAACACTGAGAAGAACCGCAGTTCTCTCGACTGGCTCCCCCAGAGAAGTCACAAGTCTGGACTCATCGGTCATGGTTTTGGTCTGCGGCCGCTTTACTCAAGCAGCGTTCGAACGCCGGAGGGACGCTTCCGAGGCCAATGGAGGCACAAAAGCAGACGTGGCGGGAGCTCGAGGGGGCGCGGGGGGAGGAGAGACCGCGCTCAGAGCGTGCAGTCCTGGTGCGCGAGTGCTCCTCCGAGAAGACACAAGCCTGGAGCCATCGATTGCAAGCAGCGTCTGGGGCACCGTCGGGACATCCATCGCAAGCTGCGCCTTCTCGCAGACGCCCTGAGCTCGCCACACGACTATGCAGCATCGTCGCGAACCCTGCCGCAGAGGCGACGGGGCCCCGAGCGGCTGGCGGGAGGGCTCATCCTAAGCCAGAGGGGCTCATCCGAAGCCCCCGAACCCCTTTCGCCTGTGTCTGACCTCTGCCGCTGGGGTGGGTCCTAAACAATCGGACCTCGAACACCTACCTGGCAAGTGACCACTTGGGTCGCCCCCCCCCCCAGCAGCAGCCAGCGCGCCTGGCTTTCAGAAAAAACGGAGTCCAACCGTCTCTCGACAAAAGCAAGGAGCGTTCGTGCTCAGGCGTGGCGGAAAAATTCGCGAGAGATTGGCAGGAAACAAGTAAGCACCCAGCACGCAGGAGCTGCCAAGGCAACAAAGCGAACATTTCTTAATGTAGGCGTGCGGCCCACACGTACGAATTGTGCCTTATTGCTGCAAGCAGTCTGCTGGTGTGTGTATATACAACATACATATGCGTGTGTCTACACAAACATACATATACATGCATGCATGCATACATACCTATACGACCACCCTTCGGGTGATAAGGAGGTTCGGGGGGGGGAACCAACGTCTCACTCGATCGGTCTCACTATCGATCTCAGTATCGATCTCACTATCGGTCTCGCTCGATCGATCTCACTCGATCGATCTCACAATCGACCTCACTCGATCTATCTCATTCGATCGATCTCACAATTCATCTCACAATCGATCTCACAATCGATCACACAATCGATCTCACATTCAGTCTCAATATCCATCTCACTATTGATATCACAATCGCTCTCACAATCAACGTCATCATCATCATCATCATCATCATCATCATCATCATCATCATCATCATCATCAACATAATCAACATCAACATCATCACCAACATCGTCATCATCATGAGGGCACCGTCATCATCATCATCATCATCATCATCATCATCATCATAAACATCATCAACGTCAGCATCATCATCGGGACAACATCATCATCATCACCATCATCATCTCATCATCAACATCATCAACATCATCATCATCATCATCATCATCATCGGGACACAGTCATCGTCATCAGCATCATCAGAATCATCATCATCATCATCATCATCGGGACACCATCATGATCACCATCGTCTTCATCATCAAAATTATCATCAACATCGTCATCCTCCTCGGGACACCATCATCATCATGATCATCGCATCATCATCATCATCGACATTATCATCATCATCATCATCAACATCATCATCATCATTGGGGCACCATCATCATCATGAGCAACATCATCATTAACATCGTCATTATCATTATTATCATCATCGGGACACCATCAGCATCACCATCATCATCATCACCGTCATCATCATCATCAACATCATGGGAACACCATAATCATCATCATCAACATCATTATCGCCGGGACACCATTTCCATCAACATCATCATCACCAACATTATCGGAATCATCATCATCATCATCATCATCATCATCATCATCATCGGGACACCATCATCGTCATCATCATCAGCATAATCATCATGAGCATCATCATCCTCATCATCGGGACACTATCATCATCGACACCATCATCAACATCGTCATCATCTTCATCGGGACACCATCATCATCATCATCTCATCATCATCATCATCATCATCATCATCATCATCATCATCATCATCATCATCATCTCATCATCATCATCCTCGCGGGACACCGCGGGACACCGGCGGGACACCGCGGGACACCGCGGGACACCGCGGGACACCGCGGGACACCGGCGGGACACCGCGGGCCCCCGGCCGCCCGGAAGGGAATCATTTGGTCCGGCCGCGCCTCAGCCACACGGGACACCAGCGGGACACCGGCGGGACACCGCGGGCCACCAGCCGCCCGGAAGGGAGACATTTGGTCCGGCCGCGCCTCAGCCACAGGAGACTTTCTCTCGCCCACCCACGCAACTTCGCCTCGCCCGCACGGCACGCACGAACACGAAACCGAAATCGATTTCCCGGTAGGGGGACTCTCCATTCCACTTCGATCTCACCCCCTCACCTCCGACCTATATGCACATACATACATACATACATGCATGCATGCATACATGCATATATGCATACACACATACACACATACACACATACACACATACATACATTCATACACCCTATACATACATGCATGCAGATACATACACATACATGTACACCCATACATACGTACGTACATACATACATACATGCATGCACGCGCGCAAGCCTGCCTGCCTGCCCGCATGCATGCATACGTGCACACACGCATACGTACAACTATACCTACATACACACATACATGTCTATACATACATACATACAAACACAAATACATACATACATACATACATACATACATACATACATACATACATACATACGTACATACATACATACATACATGCATGCATACATACATACATACATACACACATACATACAACATACATACATACATACGTACATACATACATACAGACTGACATACATACATGCACACATACATGCATGTACGCATATACATACATACATACATACATACATACAGACAGACTCACATACATACATACATACATACTCACATACAGATACACACATACATACATACATACATACATACATACATACATACATACATACATACATACATACATACATACATACATTACATACATACATAGATACATGCATGCATGCATGCATGCATACACACACATACATACATACATACATACATACACACACATACATCCATACATACGTACAACTATGCATACACTCCTAAATGCAAATACATACATATACACACGTTTACATACATATACACATACACCTGCACATACACATACGCATACACAGGCATACATACAAACATACATGCATGCATACATGTCTGCCTGCCTGCCTGCAGACATACATACACACATGCATACATACATACACTCGTACACTCATCTATACATACATGCGTACACCTATACACACATACGTCCATGCATGCCTGCATACATGCATACAGGTATGCATACATACACGCATGTATCATTCATTATACGTGTATACAAGTATTCGCATGCTGTAAACATATATAAATGTTTGTATACATATAGAGACATATCGATCATGATACGTGTTTTTATATGCACATATAAGCATAGGAATAGAAAGAGAGAGAGAGAGAGAAAACAAACAAAACGTCAAATCATCCCTGTGTAAAATACGCGGTCGCCTCGTCGGGAAGCAAGCCCTCCGACTCGACGAGCGTGAGCAGGCCGACCGCGCACCGCCACGCAGCCGCGCGCTCACAGGCGCCCAGCGCGGCGTTGAAGGTGATCAGGTCAGGGCCTGGGGCCGTTGCGTGAGACTGGTGGCGCGCACGAGGGGGGCGGCCTCCTTAGGCGGGGGAACTTCTAAGAAGGCTTTGAAGAAGCCCTCCTAGAAACCTTCTTAGAAGCCCTCCCGGCTTCGAAGAAGCCCTCTTAGAAGCCCTCTTCGAAGCTTAGGCGGAGGGCCTTCTTGGAAGCCCTCCCGGCTTGGAAGAAGCCTTTTCAGAAGCCTCCTGGCCGTGCCAAGAAGGCCTGCCTTCGGGCCGTCTCGAGGGCCACCCCGCTCGCGCCACTTCCCTTTGTGCGCGCTGCCAGAAAGAGCCCAGAAACAAATCGATACGTCGGATCGGCGATCGACTTGAATCGGATCGGCGGAGATCGTCAGCCAAGTCGGGAGGAGTCGAATCGGCGGAAATCGGCAGGCTCAGACCTCCATTGAGCAGCTGAAGCCAAAATCGGAATCCGAAGTGTCGAATCGGGTCGGAATCGGAAAATACCGACGTCGAATCGAATCGAATCGGTGGACTCGAAAAGAGGCCTGCCGCTGATCTGGAAACATTGAATATACCTGAAGTGACCCAGGAGAGCGGCCGTGTCACGGACTCGGCGCGCGTAGTCCGCTGGTTAGGAAAACTGCGTGGCCGTTCTCCCCCCACGGTTTTGGAAACGACATCGGCCCTCTGAAGACCGAGTCCAGGCCAAACGATCTTGGATCGACCATCACCCGCGCCCAGGGCGTCCAGGAGCTTTGTCTTCCATTGGATCATCACAGACACCTTTGAGAACTTCAGGGCACACCCTGGCCCCAATTCGCGCTGATCTAGCAGGTGACCCTCGCAGGCGGGCAGATCGGCCTCGTGCCACACTCTAAATTCGCCGATCCCTTGTGTTCTCCCCAGCATGTGAGATTGCTGCCCCTCCCAAAACCCGTCCCCTGGGAGCCCAGTCCGGCCAGTTTGGGGGGGCAGCAGCAGCAGCAGCAGCAGCAGCAGCAGCAGCAGCAGCTGGAGTTGCAGCACCAGCGCGGCACCGCCCACCATCAATGCTGATCAACACAGTCATAACCGGTGCCATCATTATGAGAATCATTCACAAACCCGCGCGCCATTGTCACCTGCATCGGCAACGTCCGTCGCCTGTCGCTGCCCTCGCTGCTATCGTCGCCATCGCTGTCACCGCCAGTGGTGCCACCGCCGTCGCTGCCCGTCGCTGCGGCGGCTGCCCTCGCCGCCATCGCCACTGCTGTCGGTGTCGCTGCCGCTGCCGTCTCTGCTGCCACCGCCGCGGCGCCATGGCTTCCGCCATCGGCACCACCAAGGGGAAACATCGGGTCCAAGATCGGGAAAGTCGCTCCAGAGCGTTCCTGAACGCTCTCCGAACGTTCCGCAACTCTCTGAGAAGGCCGCGGCGCCTGATACATCCCTCAGAACCGCCAGATCTCAGATCCCCGATGTGTCCCGGTCCGATTATATCCCAGTCCTGGCTTCGCTTTTTGGGGGGGCGCCTGTTCATCACCTGAATGGACTCGGCCGACCCGAACGCTGTCCAGACTCTTTTTCTAGGTTGCTTAACTTCGCGCGTCGTGCCCCCCGATGCGTGACACGCGATTACCTTTGCGCCCTCGCGCCGCCGCCCTGGACAAGGGCGCCTCTCCAACCCAGGCCGCGACGCGCGAAGCGCGATTATCTTCAACCTCAGGAGAACCTAAGGCAAACTGTTAAACAATCAAGGAGCACCGAGCCCCTCCCCAACGAAAAGGGTTCCTTCTTCAGCGCCCCGACTGTAGGCCTGCTCGGTTTCTGGATCCCGACAAACGAAAGGCCACGCTGAGGCAAGCGCGCGGGCCCTTCCGCCGCATGCCCTCCAGGAGGGACAAGGCTCCCGCCCACCTGGCTTGGCGGCCACCGCGGACCGGGAGATCGGGGGGGGGCGGGAATGGGCCAAGAGAGGAGGAACCTTCAGCAGGTGCATCCGCGGAGCGCAAAGAAGAGAAATCGGGGAAGGGGGGACGGGAGCGGCGGGGAGGAGGCAGAAGGAACGCCATAAAAATAATCCCACCAGCCCTCTGGGCGTCGGTGGTTTAACGAGTTTCCTCTTCCACCCCTCCTTCTTCCCCTTCGGGGAGGGGTTTACCCCTCCCCCTACCCCCTCCCCACTGACCTGGACAGGGGGTTCCGCGGCGCGTTGGAGCGCCCAAAATCGACCCCTGGGAGGGCAAAAATTCGACACCCCTCACGAGGATCGTGGCTCCTGAAGGGCGGACTGTAATCAGGGAGCCCCCCTTCGTTGATCGATCTCCTCCAAGATGGCTCCGAGGCCCCCCAAGAGGCCCCCAGGAGGTCCCCAAGAGACCCCCAAGAGGCCCCAAGAGACCCCCCAGAGGCACCCAAGAAGCGCCCAGGAGGCCCCAAGAAACGCCCAGGAGGCCCCCAAAGGCCCCAAGATGGCCCCAAGAGGCCCCAAGAGGCCCCAAAGAGGATCCCGAACGGCCCACAGAGGCCCCCCCGAGGCACCCAAGACGCCGAAAAGCCCCTCAGGACGACCCTCTACTCGCCTGGGCGTCGTTTCTGGACGTTTTTTTGTGTTTATATATATATATATATATATATATATATAATATATATATATATATATATACAGCCGCAGGCGGAAGCGCCAGCGGCGGAAGGTCGCGAACGGGCCGCGGACGCGACTAAATTACCTAACGCGCGCAGGGCCGCGGATCAGGCGGCTCACGACAGCGTCCAGGGGGCCGAAGCCGATGCAATCCAGGTGCCAAGACAGCCCCTGAACGGGCATGCAGGTGCGTCCAACAGGCAGGGCTTGTGGGGATACGCGAAGCGTCTAGAATTTTTTGGCGCTCCGCGCGGATGTCTTGGATCTGCACTGGACCCACCTCCCTGGCGCGCGGAGCGCGCCAGGGGCGGCGCCAAGGGCGCCGCCAGAGGCGCCGCAAGGGGGCCCCAAGGCGGATCCAAGAGATCCGCTCGGAGCGCCAAAAGTTTATGTTTGTGGCATTTTTCTTCTCCGGGGAGGCACGGGCAGAGGAAGAAGACCTAGGTCACCAAACTTCGCGCATCTCGCCCCGCGATGCTTGGGGGAGCGGAAACATGGATGAGCGATCCATGTATTTGGCGCGCACCTCCCCAAAATGCGGCCAGCGCCGCCTCGCTCGGCGAGGGATATCAGCGACTTCCAATGGAAACGGGACCCGTCGCTAATCCACGCCACCTTGATCCATGTTTGCGATCGCCTGAGATGCGCGGCTGTCTTCGCGCTCTCGCGTCCTGGCGCCGCCCCGTTGAGATAGTGGCGACTGGCCTGGCCCAGACCGCGGTGCGCGCTGCGCGATTCTCTTCGCGCCAATAGGGGCGACCTGGCGGACCAGGGGGGGTTTGGCGATGCGCGCAAGGGGGTGGAGGGAGCGGGGGGGCTTCTTAGAAGGAAGTTGCTTCTTAGAATGCGCCGGCCTTGCATCTGTAGGGAAGGCCCACGCCTTCTAAGAAGCAGGGGTGTTTCCAAGAAGCCCCCCCCTCTCCCCCTGCCCCCTCTGCGAGTGGCTGAGGGGGAGGGCGGGGGCACGGGCAAAAAAAGGAGACGGCGCAAGCACGGCAAAGTGAGGGCCAATCGGGAAGGCGGGCAAAGGGCGTAGCAAGCGAGCGTTTGGCACTCCATGTCCCCCTCTTTTGCCATGGGCGTGTTGGGCGTGGCAGCGAAAATGACAGGCATCAGCAACAGGATGTGCAAGAGGAGGGGGAGGGGAAGGGAGAGTGGGCAAGAAGCAAGATAGGTTGGGCGCCCGACTTATCCGGGATAACTCGGGTCCGGGGTAACTCGGGTTTGGATTCCCGAAAAAGGAACCCGAGTTATCCCTGACCCGAGTTACCCCTGATGATTCGGGGCTCTGAATAGGCGCGCTCGCGCCCGTGGCTTTACAAGAACTGATGTTCGTCTGCCGGTATCGGGGCGTCCCCCGGCATCGGAGCAAACGCCTCGCTCTCGAGATCATCCTCGGGGCACGGGCGGGCCCCAGATGGGCGTGAAATAGAGTTGCCGCCATCGTTCGCGAGATGGCCGGCCACTGTGCTTTCCAGAACGCCAGTGCCCCCGAATTCCAAGCACAGACGATGCGAACCGTCCCGAAGACCTTTCCCCATGCAAGCTTGAGGAGCGAGGTGAGGACAAGGATGTGCTCTGGGTAAGTGCTCTTCATGATCCCTATCACGCACGTGGAATCAAAGACGACGTCGACCACGGAGCCAGGCGGGATGAAGTTGTGTCCTGAAGGCGTGATCGACCCTAGGAACCACAAGCCTGCCTCGATGGCCCCTGCCAATTCGGCCGTGTCGTTAATAGACCCCACGGCCCCTTGAGGTCTGCGCGCGCCGGGCCAAAGGCTCTGAAAACGGGATCGCATTCGACTCCAGGTGACTTCGATTTCGGGGTGGGCCTGGGGCGGCGTTGCAAACAGCGAGGCCCCAACCGCGCGTGGACTTGGTTTTGCGGCGCCCCTTTAAAATGGCAGTCGCTGAAAAGGCGGAAACGCACTTGCTCAGTCGAGGCGCGCGCGCGCAACCTGCCAGAATCGCGAAGTATGTCCTCGAGCTGGGCCCCGAGACTGCGGCCAAACAGGCGCCGGCCCGCGGGCTTTGGAAAGAAGCGGCGCTTGCTGGCGGGAGCGAGAAAACGAAATATCATTGGGGGGGCGCTCGGACTTGACCGACGCAGACTTTCCTCGCTGGTGCGTAGTAGCTGGTGGGGGGGGGGTCAAACCTCAGCGCGGCGCAATCGATCTGTCAGGCCGCGCCTCGGCCTTCGCAGAAGCCAACGCCCCCCCCCCCCCCCCCGCAGGTCGGCTCCAAGCGTTAGTCGCGGAGATGTTGCTCGAGATCGTGCGTCCTGCACGTGGGCGGACTTCTAAATGGAAGCCCCCGGCGCGCAGGGGCCGCCTACCTCTCTGGTCAGGCGCCCCCTCTGGCTGAAGGGAGCGTTTGTGCCCGCGCGCAGAACGGGCTCAACGTGAATTGGCGCCAATTGGATCAGATGCTCGCGATCGAGGAGGTCACGAACGTAAGGGGCGTGATCGCTGGAGTCGGGGTCGAGGTGGCCCAGAGCTCAGCTCCGCGCCCAGCGCGAACTCCCGCGGACAAGCAAACTGAACGAACCATTGGTTTACCGATGATGCAAGCCGCGGGCGTCTTGTGCACACCGATACAAGGTCTCCTCTTCCGCCTCCCACGTGGAAGTCCCATCCGTGGTTACTGCGTGGCCAACTATCTCGGGGCGAGCGAGATCGGTCTCCGTGAACTCTTGAAAGCAGATAATATCCCAGAAGAACTCTCGCTCCAACTGATCAAGCACCCCTGGGGCACCCCTAATCGGAACTCCGCAGCAATTCCACGAGATGATGACGGTGCCATCTCTGGCGTGGACGCGTCTTCCGGAATCTGGTCAAGAGACGCGCGGCAGGTCGCGCATCTCGTCCAACCAGCCGGCCGCCCTCGGCAACGCGAAACTGGAGAAGTCTAATCGGTTCCCTATGCTCAACATCTGCTGCGCGGAATGCGCGGAAGCGCGCCACTGGTCCCATGTCTTTTTGGGCAACGGAAGACTGTTGTCCGATCTGGGCCGGGTCATAGTCGGGCCACTTTGTCTCAATCGCGGCTTTGATCGCGCCCCTGCCGAAAGCGACGCTCGCGAAGCAGGCGATGTCATCTGCGCGCTCGTCGATGCCATGCCGCGGCTTCCGCCAGTTATGGCCAACCATGCCCGCGGGTCTCGCTCTCGGCGAGCGCGGCGACGACCTTGCGATGCCTTGCATATGGAACAGACATTTCCACATGAAACCATTGTTCTGGAACTCATAGTTCAGGGTGTGCGTGTGTGTGCGCGCGTGCGCATGCGTGTCTTTGCGCGCGTGCGCGTTGGGTTCCGTCCACCCAATATCGCGGCCACTGGCGTCGATCCGTAAATCAACGCCCCGCCAATCCGCCGCGCGGGGCCGCTGGGTTGGCCACGCCGCCAAAATGCACGCAGCAACCACTTTCTTTGCGCTTGAATGTCCGACGCCGCTCGGGAAATTCAACGGCCGCCATTGGCCTCGGCATCGCGCTTTAATTTACCTTGACTTAAACAATTTCCTCGTCAGCTGGCCGGTGTATGTTTCGTTTGGACCCGCGGCGCCGATCGCTTGCAGTCTGTAGTGCGCGACGCTCTTACGCTGTGGTACCCGCACAGTACGGTCGCAATTCGCACTTCAATCTGCTGATCGCGCGTGAAGACCCCCTGCGCCGCTGACTTTGATAATCTGAGCGTGTGTGTGTGTGCGCATGTGTGTGTATGTGTGCGCGTGCGCGTGCGTGCGCGTGTGCGTGCGTGTCCGAGCAAGGCGCGAACACCTTTGAAACGCCCTGGATGTGGGCCTCCGTCAAACTCTGTCGTATCTCAACCACGTAGATCCAACCATCTATGCATAGCGTCTTCCGCCGGCCCATTGGCAGTCGCAGAACGGGAAAGGCGACTGTCGATACGTCGGGGCCTCCGCTGCATATCGTGGCCACCAAAAAACCGTTCCGCTGCGTTGGACACATGGTTCGACGACTGAAGTCTAGCTTTCAAACTCAAGCGTCCTGATTCAAAGTGGCCACCTCCTCGCTCGCGTGGGTCACCTTCTGATTAACGGTCGCGATATTGCACTCAAGAGGCGCGACCGTCTGGCCCAGCACGCTGCGGAGATCGGCTGAGGAGGCCGCGAAGAGTTTGACCTGCATCGGGTCGAGGTCTTGGGGAACGTCGGCTGGCTTCTGCAATGTGTCCACTTCCGTCGGCCCGCGGGAGGCTCCAGTAGGTATTACCATGGGGCCCTTGTAGCCTGCCCACGGGTCTGGGTACCCCGAATGAGGTGGCGGCGTCCCTGGAACAGCAGCGGCTGCTGCAGCTCCACTGAAGGCGACCTTTCTGAAATTGGCAGAGTTTACATCAGGGCCCTCGTCGTCTAGATCCAACATTGGGGCGTCTGGACCTGGAGGAGCAGCAACGTTCATTGGCGAGAGAACTTGATAATACTGAATGTGTCGGGTGATACGGACGTGACTAGTGTGCGGTCGGGAGAGAATCGGAGACGTCGTTTAAGGAAGCCGCTCGAGCCAAAATGGCGGACGACAGTTCCTATGTCCCGCTGACACGCCGAATGCACTTGTACGACGGTTGCGTGGACAAAGGCACATGTTTTGGAACGGCGAGAAGATGGTGCTGCACCTGAACCGCCAGGCATGCCCAGCGAGAGCCTTGGCCCGTACCAGCACTGAGCGCAACGACGTTGGAGAGGGATTGGCCAGATCGACCTCGAGGCCTCCTCGGCCAAAGCTTGTTCCGTTTTTTGGGACGCCCTGACGCAGGAAGAAGAGATCCACCTGAAGATGTTTTGCTGTGGTGCGACCCGCAGCCCGCCGCGACGATGGAACACCAGCAGGCCGGAGCTAACAGCGACCTGTCCTTGCCGCGGGGGAGCTTATCCTAGCGTGCGTCAGTACGTGGCCGAGTGTTGCTCCCTGGACGTCTTTCGCCATGAGCTTCATTCCACGTGCCACATTCCACCAGATTGGCGGTCACGCCAGCCCGCTGATACGGTGAAGACGGATTGAATTACAGTGGAGGCCCGACCACATAAAACCTTCCACAAGAAACCCAACCCTGAGACCCCAGGGCGTCCATGGACGTTTGGCGTGGGACGTCGCGCTCTTCGTCGCAAAACCATCGGAACCCAAAAATCCCAGGGCGCCCTGGAGGCAAGCAGGGTGTTTCTTGGCCTGTGCCCCCACTGCGCCTTCTCGGATCACGCGTCCCCCGCGCGCAGAACGGAGCTCCAGGTGGCTGTCTGCTGGATGGCGCTCGTTGCCATGCAGAAGATGGCGAAGGTTTGCGAAGCATTGAACAAGGCCTAAAATTCTCGAACGAGTCATTCCCGATGTTTTCTTGTGGTTGTTCCCTACCTAGGCTCTGCCTAGAGGGTTCTTACTCTCTTAGCTTAAAGGGCCGGGCAGTGCAAAGCGCCCCGGGCGGTTCCCCCAGTCCCCGCCCCGCGGTTCCCCCAGTCCCCTGGGAGCTTTAGCTTTAGCTTTAGCTTTAGCTTAGCTTTAGCTTAACTGTAGCTTAGCTTTAGCTTAGTTTTAGCTTAGCTTTTTGGCTTAGCTTTAGCTTTAGCTTAGCTTTAGCTTAGCTTCAGCTTAGCTTTAGCTTAGCTTTATCTTAGCTTCAGCTTAGCTTCAGCTTAGCTTTAGCTTAGCTTTAGCTTAGCTTTACCTTAGCTTTAGCTTAGCTTTAGCTTAATTAGCTTTAGCTTAGATTTAGCTTAGCTTTAGCTTAGCTTTAGCTTACCTTCAGCTTACCTTCAGCTTAGCTTCAGCTTAGCTTCAGCTTAGCTTTAGCTTAGCTTTAGCTTAGCTTTAGCTTAGCTTCAGCTTAGCTTTAGCTTAGATTTACTGTTACTACTAATGCTGCTTTCCTAGGGGCTCCAACTCCTAGGTAGGGTCGCACTGGGATAATTTGTTGTTCCTCCCCCTCTCAATGCTCCTGATGTGGAACTTGTGGCGTGGCGGACGACAACAGCAATAACGACGACGACGATGACGACGACGACGATGCCCGCCGCTGCCGTCGTTGCGGCCGCCGTTGTCGCCGCCGCGACGACGACGACGATGGAATCGGCATCGCAGTCGTCGTCGTCGTCGCCGCCGCAAACGGCGGCGGTGTCGCCGTCGTCGCCGACGACGACGGCGACGTCAACGACGAGTACGACGACGACGATCACCACGACCACCACCACCACCACCACCACCACCACCACCACCACCACCACCACAAGGACGACGACCGCCGTTGCCGCCGCCAGCACGGGCGCCGTCGTCGCCGTCGTCGACTTCCGGCCGCGGGCGGGGCCGGGCGGCGGCGCGGCTGGCCGCCACGCGCCCTCGCAGCATGCGCCGGCGGCTGCGCCGCAGAGGACAAGGCCAATCTGCGCGCCAGCAGCCCGCGCCTGCCCGGCAGGGCTGTCTCCCCTCCCCCTCCTTCTCCATCCTCCCCCTCCTTTTCCTGATTTTTCCTCTTCCTCCCTTTTCCTTCCTCGTCCTCCTTGTCCTCCCTCCTCCCTCCCTCTCTCTCTCTCTCTCGCTAAACTCACGGTCGCGTTTTCGATACCACTGTTCAGAGAAAACCGGCCCTCCGCCCATCGCACGTGGACGACGGGCGCGGGGGGGGGGGCGGCCGTCCACGCGGCTCTCGGCCAACGGCCCCTTGTCCCCTCCTTCTGTTGGGAACTGCCCCCCCGAAAGGGGCGCGCTGTGCCGCCGCGGGCTCGCGGCCCCCGCCGCCGTGTCGGTCCAGCACCTTGGTTGGCGGCCCTGTTTCCTTTGCGCGCTGCCCCGGGTGCCAAGCGTGCGGCCCTGGCCGCGCAGCGTGGGACCGCCGGTCCCTCCCTTCAGGCGGCGTCCGCGGGCACTGCGCGTCCCATCTGCCACCTCGGGTGTTCCTCCGTCCTCCTCGCCGTTGGACGGGGAGGTCGCCCGTTCCCCACCCCCGCCCGCCATCGCCTGCGTCTCTTCGCGCCTGCGCCTCGAGCGCCGCGGGCGCCCCCCCTGGGCATGGGCTGAACGGGGCCGCGGTAACGGAGGGCCCGACTGAGGTGGCGGCCCTTTGCTATGGGCGCACCCAGGGCCGCGTGGCGGGCCGCCCTCGCCCGCGCGTCGGCTCCGCCCCGACAGGTCGCGTGCAGCCCCGCCGCCGCCTGCAATCGCCTTCGCCTCGCCGTCGTTGCAAGGGGCGGCCCGATGTCAGACTCGCCGCCCGGTGGTCGGCGGGGCCTGCGATCCCGCGCGGCCCACGCCCGCGCCGCCGCTGGCCGATCCTTGCGATTCGCGGGCTCCGCTTCCATGGCGGCTTCGATAGTCTTGGTCTGCTGCGTCGGCGACCCCCTCAGCTGCTTGCTTCTCAGCCTGAGCCGCCCAGTCTTCAGGCCGGAGGCACCTGGCCTGAGCCAAGACTCCGCGTCCCCGTGCTGGTTGCCCCCGTGGCACCTGGGGCGCGCGTGGCGGCGCGGGGGCGAGGGGTCCGGGATTATGATAGCGAGCGTCCGCGGGACCTCGCCGTCCATGACCTTAGCGACGTGCTCGCGTGCGACGATCGACCTGGTGTTCTGGAAGACTGGCGTCTCACGGTTTCCGTAGGCATGAACGAAGTAGGAGATGTAGCCGTACCCGTCCTCGCAGCAATAGCATTTGGCAAAATTGGTCGCGAGGCCGTGAAGTCGGCCTCTCTGAAAAACGGTGTCCGTTGCCCCGCGATCGTGGTCTCTGCTGCTGCGTGCCCGTCGCGGACCTCCTGCCATTCTTCGTCGCCTCGCTCCGACTCCGGCGAGAGGGGCCCTGTTCGCCTAGCGGCCTGGCTCCCGTCCCGAAGAGTCGTATGGAGCGCTGCCACTCGCTCTCGCCCTTCCTCCGCAAGTCCTCCGCTTCGGCCCCATCAACCTTACTCCTGCGCATTGGCATGGCAGGCGCCAAGGAAGACACTGTTCTCGTGTCCGCCGAGGCGCAGCGTCGAGGGCGCAGGCCCAAGGGCCAGCTTCAGCATCCAACTGTTATATATTATGAAGCGGCCGAGCGATTGAGCACAAATGGCCACTGACGTCGGGCACACGATGGCATATATGGTGCCATACAAGTTGCACAATAGATGTTGTGCAGTCTTTATGGTGCAACCTATGTGGCGGCGACGGGGCGGCAACGATCGCAACATAGCCGCCAGACCGCCACCCGGGCCCTGACGACGGGCGGCGACGAGGCGGCGACGGCGACAACATAGCCGCCAGACCGCCACACAGGCCCAAGGGACGGGCGGCGACGAGGCGGCGAATGGGCGACAACATAGCCGCCAGACCACTCCACAGGCCCAGACGACGGGCGGCGCAAATGCGGCGACGATGACAACATAGCCGCCAGACCGCCACACAGGCCCGGACGACGGGCGGCGACGAGGCGGTGACGGCGACACAGCCGCCAGACCGCCGCACAGACCCAGACGACGGGCGGCGACGAGGCGGAGACGGACACGCGACGGCGACAACATAGCCGCCAGACCGCCACACACGGCGCCGCCCCAGGCGCGCTCCGCACGCCAGGGAAGGGGGTCCAGCGCGGATCCGAGAAATCCGCGCGGACATCTTAGTTGTTATGTTTATGTCATGCTTCGCTCCCCTGTTTTTGCTTCCTTTTTTCCCAACCATCCTGTGGTGTTGGGTCCTCGTTTTGAAGAGACGGTGCCCCGCGTCTCCTTCCTCCTCTCCTCCTCCGCCTCCTGTCCCCTCCTATCATCCTCATCGTCATCATCATCATCATCATCATCATCATCATCATCATCATCATCATCATCATCATCATCATCATCATCGTCATCATCATCATTATCATCATCATTATCATCATCATCATTCCTCTCCTCTCCTCTCCTCTCCTCTTCTCTCCTCTCCTCTCCTCCTCTCCTCTCCTCCTCTCCTCTTCACCCACCCAGTACACCGCTTCGTGGCCCCATAGGGAGCTCCACCGAAGGCCCCAGTGCCCGCGCCCGCATGCGTCACCCACACCCAATTCGGCACACCCCTCACACGTTTCGTGGCTCCATAGGGAGCTCCACCGAAGGCCCCAGTGCCCGCGCCCGCACACACCCACACCCATTTCGGCACACCCCTCACACGTTTCGTGGCTCCATAGGGAGCTCCACCGAAGGCCCCAGTGCCCGCGCCCGCATGCGTCACCCACACCCATTTCGGCACACCCCTCACACGTTTCGTGGCTCCATAGGGAGCTCCACCGAAGGCCCCAGTGCCCGCGCCCGCATGCGTCACCCACACCCATTTCGGCACACCCCTCACACGTTTCGTGGCTCCATAGGGAGCTCCACCGAAGGCCCCAGTGCCCGCGCCCGCATGCGTCACCCACACCCATTTCGGCACACCCCTCACACGTTTCGTGGCTCCATAGGGAGCTCCACCGAAGGCCCCAGTGCCCGCGCCCGCATGCGTCACCCACACCCATTTCGGCACACCCCCATTTCGGCACACCTCTCACACGTTTCGTGGCTCCATAGGCCATAGGGAGCTCCACAGAAGGCCCCAGTGCCCGCGCCCACATGCGTCACCCACACCCATTTCGGCACACCCCTCACACGTTTCGTGGCCCCATAGGGAGCTCCACCGAAGGCCCCAGTGCCCGCGCCCGCATGCGTCACCCACACCCATTTCGGCACACCCCTCACACGTTTCGTGGCTCCATAGGGAGCTCCACCGAAGGCCCCAGTGCCCGCGCCCGCATGCGTCACCCACACCCATTTCGGCACACCCCTCACACGTTTCGTGGCTCCATAGGGAGCTCCGCCGAAGGCCCCAGTGCCCGCGCCCGCATGCGTCAGCCACACCCATTTCGGCACACCCCTCACACGTTTCGTGGCCCCACAAGGCCCAGTGGCCCCGCATGCGTCCACACCCATTTCGGCACACCCCTCACACGTTTCGTGGCCCCATAGGGAGCTCCACCGAAGGCCCCAGTGGGTGTGCCCGCATGCGTGGGTGTGCCCGCATGCGTCCCGCACACCCATTTCGGCACACCCCTCGTACGTTTCGTGGCCCCGTAGGGGGCTCCACCGAGAAGCTATTCACAATTGCAGTATTCACAATTGCATATGGTTGGGTCCTTCGCCAGGATAATTTTGTTTGTTTCTCTCTCTCTCTCTCCCTAGCCTCTCCATCGTGCCGCCTCCCTCCCCTCATGGTGCCGTCCTTGCTCGTTTGTCGAGCCGTGCCTGGCCGTGGCGACACACGGGGGGTCCCAGGGCTGCCGGGTGGACGTTCTCCTCGCCAGCGAGCGCCAGGTCACAGGATGATGGGGAAGAGGATCAGCAGGAGAGGGAGCAAAAGCAGCGGCAGCGGGAGGAGGGGTCGGAACAGAAGGGGGGGAAGAGAGGGGGGGAGGAGGAAGAGGAGGAGGAGTATGAGGAAAAGGAAGAGGAAGAGGAGGTGGAGGAGGAGAAAGAGGGGGAGAAAGGACCAAGAACACAGGATGCATGTGTTCGCGGAGGAGGAGGAGGAGGAGGAGGAGGAAAATGGGGGCGAAGGAAGAGAAAGAGGGGGGGGCTGAGGGATGGTGGAAAGAGGGGATGCGGGGGCCGGAGGGTGCTTGACCCCCCTCTCATGCCTCCGACCTTCTCCCCTGCCTCCCCTCCGAGGGGCGGGGAGAGGATCGGCGCGCACCCGTCGAAGGAGGCCCAGGGCGTCCGCCCAGCGGCTCCCGCGCGCGTGCGCGCTCACGATCGCGCCCAGCAGCACGGCGTCCTGCGCCAGCCCGTTCGTGGGTATCAGTATTGTCCTTGTTCTTCTTTCCATCATCATCACCATCATCAACATCACCATCCATCATCATCATCATCATCATCATCATCATCATCATCATCATCATCATCATCACCACCACCACCACCACCACCACCACCACCACCACCACCACCACATCATCATCATCATCATCATCATCATCATCATCATCATCATCATCATCATCATCATCATCATCATCATCATCATCATCATCATCATCATCAGCATCAGCATCAGCATCAACATCAGCATCAGCATCATCATCATCATCATGTCATCAGCATCATCATCATAATCATAATCACCATCAGCAGCAGCATCACCACCATCATCGTTATCATCGTCATCAGCATCCTCATCATAATCATCAGCATCAGCATGAGCATCAGCATCATCAGCATCATCAGCATCAGCATCAACATCAGCATCATCATTATGATATTGTTAGTATTCGCATACATAACAATGTTATTCGTACAAATATGAGTAATACTGGCACTGTTAGTCGTAATCGTATGAACCTTCGTCGTCGTGTGTTATATTACTATTGTATGTGCAATTGTCTTTTTATTCTTCGTATTAGTAGCATAATCATACTACAAGTATAATGCGTCTTCTTCACTTTCTTACCATTCGTGTTAGCATTAGCAGCACCAGTCTTATTATTTTTATTAGTACCACCCTGACCGCTTCTATTTCTGAGAAAATAACTATTATCGTATCATGTATTCATATTGGTATTGCTGTAATATTTGTTGGTATTGTTATTGTCATCATTTCTATTATGAACAGTGTTCGTCTTCGTTATCTTATTCTTATTATTATTATTCGTATCATTTTTCTTCGTCTTCAGCTTCCGTTTCTTTTTCTTGTTCCTCATCCTTTTCCTCCTCCTCCTCCTACTCCTGCTCCTGCTCCTGCTCCTCCTCCTCCTCCTGCTCCTCCTCCTCCTCCTTCTCCCTCTATGGAAGAATAGTCGTGCCTGGGCCCTAGACCGAGCCCGGGCCCCAGGCCCCCGGGCCCCAGGCCCAGGACACTCGGCCCTGGGCCCTGGCCCTTGCGCTCACGGCGACCCAGATTCCTAACTTTACGAACCTGGGGCGCCTGTTCGCCAGCAGATTCAGGCAAAGGCACCTTATCTCTATGGCGACATTCGCCCCAATGTTAGCTCCGGCCACCATGAGGACACGGAATGGAATGGGCGGGGAGGTGGAAGAGGGATGAGGATGATCGGGATGACAGGGAGGGGAAGCAAGGAAAACAGGCGAGGAAAGGGACACATGACAGAGGCCGATCAGCAGCATCAGCGGCTGCAGGAACGGCAACGGCAGCAAGAAAGAAGAGATGACGACCAGTAATGATAATGAAAACTGTTCCGAGGAAGAGGAGAATGATAAATCCGATGACAAGAACAACGAAAAGAGGAACGACTGGGTCGACAAGTGAACATGTGACTCTGCCTGCCTCGACTTTCCTGCCCAGCATAGGCGGACTGCGCGATCGACGAGGAGAGGGATGAAGAGAAACGTGCGTGATCCGCAGGGGGAGAAGGAAGAGGATGAGCAGGAGGATCAGCAGGAGGGCGATCAAGTGGACGAGCAGAGTTATGATGATGAGGAGCAGCAGTAATAAAGATAGCAGAAGCTGAAGGAGGAACAAGGCAGGATGACGAAGGAGGACCAAGTGAAGGAGTCGGTAGAGTTTTAGAGGGGCATAGGGGTAGATTGTAGGAGGGCGACCCTCACTCTTATCGAAAACAGCCCGTGCCTGTCTGAGTGGAAGGTCCGATCGATCTTACACTGTCTTCGGTTGCGTTACCGAGGAGGGGATCCAGAATGTGAATAGTTAAACAGATTATCGGTGCCGTCGTTGACGCCGTCGGTCCAGCTGCGTACCCTGAAACGCCTCTCCCAGGCCTCCCTTTCAAAGAGCAACGTGGTGCCCTCCTGCAGTGTTCTTCTTGGGCCCCGAGGCCCACTTTGGGGCCCCCCAGTGGCCCAAGGGGCCCCGGGGGGGCCCCGACGCCGCGCCAAGGGCCTTCAATGGGGGCCCCAAGAGGATCGCAAGAGACCCTCAACACACACACACACACACACAAGCACGCACGCACGCACGCATATACACACGCACGCATATACACACGCACGCGCGCACGCACGGACGCACGCACGCACGCACGCACGCACGCGCGCACGCACGCACGCACGCATATACTTACGCACGCATATACGCACGCACGCACGCACGCACGGACGCACGCACGCACGCACGCACACGCACACACACACACACAAACACACACGCACGCACGCACGCACGCACGCACGCACGCACGCGCGCACGCACGCACGCACGCACGC